ATCCAAAGTTTTTAGTTCTGATGACTTTTGTGTTGGCGAGAGATCCAGTTTGGCAGTTAGCATTCAACCATCATGGTCCCTTAACCTATTTGTGCCCAATTTTTTCTGAATGGTTTCATGCATATAGTCATGTTAATAATGTCCTATTTGTACATGTTCTGCATTTATTTTCCCCAGTTATAATTTTTTTTTTCTTTCTTGAAAATTATTTGAATGTGCGGAAAATAGTTGCCGGTGGGCAAATATGTTGTGTGCACCCCTTCAATGTCAAATTTGAATAGGAGGAAAGCATTTGACATCTAACTCAAAATAACTGCTTTCAACAGATCAAACTTTATTCATAAACAAATTTATTGTGTATAAAAGTTGAAAAACATTTGATGTGAACCCAAAAAAGCGGCATCTAGCTTATAATCTCTTGAATATGAAAACACATAAAAACAATCCCATTTGTCTCAAAGTGGTGGAACATCAGAACAAAGTGCAGCCATTAAGTATTTAAATGAAAATAAATAAATTGAATGAAGAATAAAAAAAAAAAAAAGTATACCTGAAAGAAAATTACACATTTTTAGGCGCATAGTATTCAATGGCTGACTGTAGTAGGTGATTTCATATAATAATGTAAATGTAAACTCATTACTTGCCTGAATTTCAACATTATAATGGAATCATAAACCACTAGTCATAAAATAATTAGGGTCATTGACCTATTAGAATGAAACGCATCCAAACTGGATAAAAGGGCCTCAATAGTTTGCCCCTTACAAGATATAATGTAATAAAAGGGAGAAAAAGATCATCTACAGCAATTAATCCCAAGCGTTAGCTCTTTATCTTTCCACTCTTCCTTTTGTGTCACTGACGGGAGTTTGTAAACTGCTGCTGTCACTTGAAAACTGGAATATACTTACAAGTCATTTGCCCACCGGCAACTATAATTGCCACTTGGACTTTTGACTAAGTATACAACAAACTATAGATCTCCTGGAAGATTTGTTTTGTTTGGATGATTCTAGAGACCGTCATGGTTATGTAGATATATATATGTCAACAAAAAATACTTATTAGTAACATGAAAATTAAATTTCTTTGGGAGGGTTTGCCTTCACCATGCTTCCTGAAAGTAGGGGTAGGAACTTGACAGCCTCATGTGGCAGAAAGGAAGTGAATACCTTTTTTTTTTGTCTTGAAATCCTTTATTTGGTTGCTTGCTTGCATTTAGACATAAAACATGAATAACATCTAGAAAAATACTTACAAAAGGAAAATGACCACTATAAACTGTGGCAACCTGGGCAGGACTTAGGGGGGCGGGGGCCCCTGGGCTTGAGGTTATGTTTGGGCCCTGTACCTATACTTCAAATGCCCCTTAAATAGACCATCATTATGGAGTAACACAAAATACACAAACATATGCTTTGAGGTTCATAAATAGTACATATGAAACTACAACCGCCAGTAGGCGGCAGTCTTAATGAGTGAGTTGAATCAACTGATTCGTTTAAAGGGGTCATATGATGCTGCTAAAAAGAACATTATTTTATGCACCAAGAGCTTGTAACACTCCAAAGAGAAAGGAAAAATTGAAATCGCATCATATGACCCCTTTAAAAAGCTGATTCATTTAACTTTGCAAATGACTGAACTTATAGCCTGATTGAATCATTTGCTGGTCTGTGTAACGCTGAGGAACAAAACACTGTTGTTCGGAGACGCAGCGGTTCTGCTGTTTGTTCTATTTTCTTTCTGACGGAACAAAACAGAATTTTGTGTCTGAAAGTTACTGTGTACGTTGTGGTTTATTGTACATTTGGTATGGTGCAGATATTCGGGGAAAAAAAACAGGACTCTTGTTTGTGTGATGGGCCTATAGGCATAGCTATGTTATAAAAACAGAAACTCATTAAATTGCAATTTTAAAATTTAAAATGATGACATTTTTCCCCACTATGTGTAATGACAGTTAGATGAGAGAGAGCGCTCAAAACTCATCAGATGATCGCATAATTTAGTGGAACATTAATAGTAATATAGAATCATCCTCTGTAAAGAAATGAGGTGTGAACATTTGAGAATTTATCATTATCTTTCTATGCGCGCTCTTTGGGGCTAATTGCTTAATGGAGCTGTTTAAAGTAGCCATGTGATAACAAGCCAATAGCTGCAGACGCGATTCAATACGTGCGTCCTTCTTCTATGTGAAATAATAATAAATACCAGTTTATGCTGTTTGATTGTGGCCTCGAAGGTCGTAGTTGTAAGCTGTAGCCCCGCCTGGCCCGTTTAGATCTTGTGTGCGCAGTGGAAATGCGGCTAATAATTTCTGAATTCTGACTGGCATATAACGAACAAATCAAACAAACGTAAACTGGAAAAAGGCGGGGCCCCCTACAAGGCGGGGCCCATGGGCTGCAGCCCACTCAAGCCCAATGGTAAGTCCGGCCATG